TGATTAAACTTGTTGATAATTGTTGTAAAATATTTATATTTAACTTGACTTAAGGTATGACAAGGGGAAGTATAAAAGGAGTACCTATTTCAATAGACGTTTATTTTTAAAAGCGAGCCAGGGGGAAGGAAGTACCCGTAATATTACCAGCTTACAGTACCTAAAAAGATAAATGTGCCGTTTGACAGTAATGTTGTACACTTGTAATCAGTGATACAGCATATAATATTTCCTTGTGAATGACTCATTCAAGGGCCTTCATGGTTGTCTATTTCCTCATTATTATCAAATAACTTCTTCCTGTATACCTGTCACTGGAGTCGCACAGTAATATCAAATAATAAGTAAATATATATTGGATATGTTACATCCTGACTTGCTATAAGCTGCTCGAAAGCACAACACAGTACATTCATATACAATCAGTGCTAGGGCTGCAGCGATACATTAACATGACAATACGATATGTATCACGAAACTGTGGTCACGATACGATACATATCATGATACATATAGTAACAGTAGAAGCAAAGCGAAAAGATCTGTTGCAAATTTTTAATGGCAATATTACAACTGAAAATAGACTTGGTCCTTAATGGGCATCACTTTTAAATTTTCACATAATTCACATCTTTCGACGTGCATGCCGAGCTGGAGCTGTCACTCAGCATGTTGGCACCGATATGAGTAGACTAAATTCAGAATCGACAAATCCGGAAAATATTGTATGTGTATCGTAACCTCCGAAAAATATTATGTATTGTACTGCATTCAAAATTTCACGTTGCAGTCCTAATCAATACAGTATTGTGTTATTAGGTGCTAACTACTGGTCCTATGCCACCTGACTAATGTCTCCACATGTGTGTATGCATGTTTTTGTACTGGAGATGTGTTTTGTTCTGATTTGTAGTGGGACTTTGTTTCATATAGGCAAAATAAATCACTGGTTGATAATGCGGTCAAATCAACCAGTAAAAATATATTCACTACAGGCTGTCGTACAAGTACATGCTGTTTCATTGCATCGTAATATATGTATGTGTGTTGATTTGGGATAATTTACTTGGTGAGGGTGCCAGCGACAGGTGTTGGGGAGCATGACTTAATTATTGATGTGAAACAAATTGGGAACTAGGTAGGCGTAAGATTTATGAAAATTATATACAATTACTCTCGAGACAAGTTGTAATCTGTAGTCATGGTTTGATCCCTAGCGGAGGCATTCAAAAAGATAACTTGAAAAGAGGACTTGGCTTAGCCTATTATCCAATCCTTTTGTTATTTCCCCCTGGTATCAATAAGATCTGTTGAAACAAAATGAAGAGAGTAACCTTATTACAGAGCACAAGACTTGGTACAGTATAATGTACCGTACATGTGTTTGATTCCTTTTGTCATATCAGGTAAAATTGATTATCGGATACTTGCTGTGTCATCAACAACATAAAAGCTATTGATTTAACTATATACCAAGTACTCTATATATAAAGTATAGAAGGGTACCTGTATAACACACATATATAAAGTAGAAGGTCACCTGACACCTGTATACATGTGTATCAGGTATTATCTGTTGCCCTAAAATGTTGGCACAGATCCAGATTAGTGACTCTATATAATTACACATAACTGCCCGTGCCAGACATTTCAATCTTTTGTCCTCCACATTTGAGCTTACAATAAATAAATGGTGAGCCCAATAAACGGTGTACTTTGTTAGTGTAAGGGATTTCAAAGTAGAATTATTTTTACCCTGAGTGACCTTACTCGAATGTTCCGTCTCGTAATGTCACAATCTTGTATGTGTACAAACCTGTCTAAATTGGATATTGTATAGTTTGGAAGCTCATCAAAAACACTTCATTCATAATTTAAGTGAATCCTACAAAATCCTTAACCTGAAGGCTGCTTTCATTTTATGTGGTCCAAAGTTTTCGACCATTTTTTCATTTTTATCGGAGTTGTTCGTTTACGAAATAGTGACGGGCCTAGTGATTTGATGTAGCTTCCTGGTGAGCCCTAGCACTAACTTTGAAGGCCTGCATCTACAGGTCTGACTGGCTTTATTCCTAAAAATAGTACATTTATAAATAGGTGAACCAGTTTGTCTGCTTAAACAAGCAGGCACTTAATAATTATAATTGCCAAACTGCTGTTGCATGGTCACTTAAACAAAATGTCAAACTTCGTGGTAGTCAAATGTCAGATGATATTTATATTCATGCATAAACAAAAAACGATCCTAGAAGATTGACAAACATTGAAAAAGTTATCTATATTCAGTGAAAATAGGAAGTCTAAAATCATTCACTTGTGACTACAATTTTACAAACTGAATACCTGTTTGTTTGGGCCAGGGGGAACGTGACCGTCACCAATCAGAATGATTTTATTTTCAGTTAAAACTTTATTTAGTCTTACAACTATTATGAAACAAGTTTTATCAAATACCATTAATCAATCAGGATGTCTGTAACAGCAGATTTTCATATTGACTTGTGTCTGTATAGTACGTACCAGGAAACCAATAAAAAAACCTAATGTTTGTTACTTTTGTTTCCAAAAAATATTCAAATTAACCAATCAGAATGTCTTTTTGTTGTAAATAACCAATCAAAATGTAAGTTGTCATATCTTACCAATTGTTGAATTAATAATGTCTGCGTTATATACATTACCAATCAGAATAATGTCCTATACATGTTTGATGCAAAAAATAAAATAAAATCATACAACCAATCAAAACGTCTTATTTGTTACAGATAACCAATCAAAATGTCCGTCTCTCGTCGTGGAGGAGAGGAGCTGTCCTTGTTCAGGATCCCTCCTTACTACTACCTCCATGTCCTCGACCAAAACCTTAATGTTACCCGTTTGGAGATCGGGCCCCAGACCTACATCCGCCAGGACAATGAAAGGTGAGGCTTTTGCACAAAATTTACTGCAGAGGATAAACAGGTTTCTTCTGAATGTAGAATCCTGACTTGACAAGTAGCTTTTCTCTTGTTTACATTCATGGCTGATAATTCATTTTTGAAGGAGCATTTGTGGACATTTTTTTAATTGATGTACAAATTATATTTACACTGCAAAAATGGATGTAGGGCCGGCCGGTTGCTCACAGGAACAAAAGCTCTGCCATATTTATCCTACAATAAGCCTGGGGGGGCCAGTGCATAATTTCTGACTCAAAATAGGGATGGGCTTATTACAGAGAAGTTAAAATGTATTTGTTGAAATTTTATTTAAACTGAAATAGATATGGATGGGCAGATAAATTTGGTTTCCTATTTGATTTATTATAGTGCAAACTTTTAACTGAATCGGTATATAGTGAAACATGTTTTTATTTAATTCTGTAATTCTTCAAAATCTTTGAACTCCTGTCTTATAAGAAGTGTCTCGTGTCTACAGGGTGGTGTTTGGGCCGGAGAAGATGATCACAGTTCCCCCGAGGAACTACTGTCTGATCGAGAACCCCCATGTCCGCGACAAGGACAACAAGGTTGTACTGGACAACAGCGGCCAAGCCAAACTTCTCCACGCTGACCAGGAGATTCGTCTTGCTCAGGACCCTTTCCCTCTCTACCCTGGCGAGGTCTTGAAACAGGTAAGACAGCTTAAAATGTTCATATTTGATTGACTGAGTTTGTTTAAAGTTTAGAACATAATTGAAAGTATTTTTATATCAAATTAGCATTAATGACACCAGCATTATATAAGAATCAATGTTTTATTTCATTGAAGTTGATCTATCCAAAATATATAGGAATAAAAGTCACTCTCTGCCATCTAGTTGTCCTGAAATGTATTTGTGAAGGTGTAATTCATTATATATTGATGATGTAAATTTGTTACTTTAGGTTGTGACACCCCTAAAAGTTGTGAATGCTAACTCAGCTCTCCGTCTCCGATCCATTCTCGACTTTGAAGCTGAGGATGACATTAAGAGGACTGCTGGTGATGAATGGTTATTTGAAGGACCCGGGACTTACATCCCTCGCAAGGAGGTGGTGATTGATGAAACTGTTCGCGCCACTGTGATCCGTCCTAACCAGGCAATCCGTCTCCGGGCTCGTAAGGAGACGATCGACCGTCAGGGAACACCCCGTGTCACTGGGGAGGAGTGGCTTGTTAAGAAGACGGGAGCCTACCTTCCCGGGGCCTATGAGGAGGTGGTCGACATCGTCAATGCTTTCGTCCTCACAGACAAGGTATGGCATTGTATATCACTTACAAGTAGTCATAAATGTCAATAAAATCAAGACCTCACCTCAAATTTCTTTTCTTAAGTTATTGGAAAATTTTACTATTGGGTAAACGGGAAAATATTCACATAATGTTATTGTAATTTCACTCTGAAGTACAATATATATACAGTGGACAGATATTGATAAAAAGTCAAATAAAGCTGTATGCTGTACTAGACGGATATAATGATGTAGTATTGATTTGCACAACTCTGTCCAAAAATAAGCTGTAACTGTCAAAATTAACTCATTCACCCCTGAAGACACAT